CTCTGCAATTTTCATTATATGGTTTTCAATACAATACTAGAAAACATAGGTACTGTTTAAAGCGCAACACACACAAAGTCGGGTGCGAGTGCGGGTCGGGCGCTGGTCGAGACGGGAATGCGGCAGGTCTAATATAATCCTTGTATTTATATCCTTTGTTGCGCTTAAATGAAAACTTGTTGTTCAAATAACTATATGTGAGCCGCAGCCTATTAACTGCAGAAATGCATTTAATAAATTATATTATAACAATATAGATAATATAAGTTTAAAGTATAAGTTCGTAATTTGTATGTCTGCCAGAAGTACGGTGATAGGTGTGTATTGGAATCTGTTTCAGGACTTAAACGACAAATTCAAATTGATGAAAAAAAGAGAATATACCTACAAAGTAGAACGTGCTTGGCAGTACACATTGTGATTTCTCAGTCACTGAAAATACAGACTTCCAAAGTTATCGACAAGAAATAACAGAGCATAAAAATGATATTATTTGCTTAGAGAAAAAGAAGTTACGGCTGCGTTTGTTTTTTTTTTAAATATATATTTGACATGGCAATGCTTTAAATTTATGTCGTAATTACAAGTACATATGACTATGATAAGTTGATAACTTATCGATTTTGGCCAATTTAATCTTTATGATATATTATTCATATATTTTCACAATAAAAAGTAATAGGTATTTTTATAATCAGCCTTTTTTGGCATAAAACCTTTTTAAACTTTTTAGTTAAACCTGCGTATCTGTGTATCTGTCTGTCTGTGGCATCATAGCTCCCGAACAGATGAACCAATTTCTAAAAGCATGGGAGGAGAGAAGGTTTAGGGTTCTGGTAACTTCACTCACTAGATGAAAAACAGCGAAAAATTTGCCTCACATCACAATAACATACAGTAAAAATGTTATTCACATGGTTTATGAAGATGCAAGTTTTAATCATAAGATAAGAATGTCTTGGTGAAAATTTATTGGATTAAATAGACTTACATTATTGTTTGAGAGTATTCAGTTCTCGTCTCTAATATCCTAATATCTAATATGCCATACTGCTATACGCTACTGTGCAACCATGTTTTTTGTTAAGAGTCGTTATTCAAAGTTTTCTGTACTTATTAATGCAAAAAAAAAACTTTTTGGAACGATGTTCGTTATCGCGCGTTACACACTAAGCGGATGGGAGCAAGACTGTAAAATGTGTAACAAGACTTTTTTCCGACACTATATCACACGTCTATCAAAAAGCGAAAGGAACTTCGTTCCGACCGGGGGTCCATAGACCAATCACGCCGTTTTTATGGTATAGGGGTGAACAAACAGACGAAACGCCTTATGGTAAGTGACAACTGCTGCTCATGAACACTCGCAACTGAGAACTGAGAACTCATAAACAATCTCCTAAATATTATTATATTTAGGAGATTGTTTATGACACGATCTATAGTATAAATTATTACTAGACGTAAAGAGTTCGCAAAAGCTGTCGCCTGTTTAGCCACCCTAACAACCATCCGTCATTGACAAAGGGCCTCCGTTGGCCCCGTTCCTAAATACACATTGTACTGTAAATCCCCCTCCCCGGTTCCTGCCTGAACTCGATAAACTCAAAAGTACTGAACGAATTTAAAGATGTGAAAAGGTTAATTTACTACCACATTTTTTTACAATTTTTTTTTTTTTTAAAGACAACGACGCATTAGGAATATATCCTGTGTCGCGGAGGACTTTACAAACATACATGAAACGGACACAAAGAACACCCAGACTCAGAACAACAATTTGTGGGTCACACAAAGTGTCATCCCATGTGGGGTTTAAACCCACAACACTGGCGTAGTAGGAAGCTTAAACCACTACGCCATCCGTGCAGTCAGTTATTATTAGTTTTGTATAAAATCACTGAAATATGACGACCAATGTTAAAAATGTCTGCGATTATTTGCCGGGATGTGCCTTGTAAACAACTAGTCATATGTTAAACAATTTATTACAGAATTATTGTTCTTAGAAAGGTGTATTTCTTCTCAATAATTTTCATTTAAAGATGCAAATACAAAAATACTTTGATCTTTCACGATGGTTTATCACGCGGTCCGTTTACTGACCTATCGCATCGGGCGAAATGGCATTCGGGGTGGGGGCGAGTTCACGTCAGCCGTTTGACGTGACTAATCTCTGAGGAGGACTTTCTTGACAGTATTTGCACAAGAAAGTTACTTGGTAGTCTTGTAATTTAATAAATAATATTACGAGTGCTTGTGACCTTTTAAACTGATCTAAGAAATAATTCGGTCTACAGACTTAACATACTCAAATTTGGATTTAAGGAAAGATTGTCCTTTGATGAATTCCCAGTTGAATAAACTTCAAATTCGTAAACGGAGGGTATGTGTGTACTTAATCAATCATAATAAGCAGAAAGAATTGAATTATAATTAAATATCTACATCAGAACGGACAGTTTTGTCTCTGTTTTGCGCGATGTTGTTGCGACTGTAATTTATGGATAAGCTTAGGAATAAGTACACACACAAATACAACATACACCCGCGTCAAAATAATACAAAATTACGTGAATACGGAATATATTATACTTAAAGTTGTTAAAAAGCACGCCTGAATGACACCGGTAACGTATTAAACAAAAATGAGTTGCAACGGTATTGTTCACAAGTCGACAATTTTAACCCGTATAGGAGGTTCGGTCTTGATGGCCACCAAAAATCAAAACCAACCCAACATTTGGATTTGTTAATTATGTATAGTCACAGACTGTGGATAGGTGGAATGAATCCGGTCGAAGGGAAAAAATATCTCGCAAATGTTATCAATGGGGACAATGCAGAACATGCTTGGCAGAACAGATTGATGATTATTGCTACTGTCGGATGTTATGATTGCTAGTGTATGGTGTTCAGTCACCTGGTGCAATTATTAGTGCGACCTAAAAAGGTGATAAATAGCTCGTTCAACTTTAGCGGTTATTCACCTTAGTTCATCTATACAAATAAATAAAATTGGAGTGTCTGTTTGTAATATTAAAATAACCGCTTTTTACTAAATGCATATGTATGTTTACACGGTACATATGCCAAAATAACATTTTTTACAATTTTTGTCTGTCTGTCTGTCTGTTTGTTCCGGGTAATCTCTGGAACGGCTGGACCGATTTCGACGGGACTTTCACTGGCAGATAGCTGATGACATAAGGAGTAACTTAGGCTACTTTTTTTAGACTAGCTTCGCCCCGCGGCGTTGCCCGCGTTTATAACAAGAAACGCAGGTAACACCGCGGGTCTCAGCTAGTTTTAAATAAATAAAAGCGTTTTATTTTAGGAAATATGATTTTAGGAAGTTGGAGACTTCGTTCTCGTCAGTTTAATTTATGGCGAAACCTAACCTTTTTTTTTTTTTTTTTTTTTTAACGTGTGGAAATCCCCTCGGACCGTCACCCCTCCGGGGTTTGCGGCGGGGTGGTGTGTCGGACTCGGACCGACTAAAACCACACGGTGTGCCACTCTGCGCCTGTAACAGGAGGGATCCGGGAACAGCTGTTGTTAAGACATCCGGACCCCTCCTAGCGCCAGCCCGCTCCTGATGCGGGCTCCGTCTCAATGTATTTTCCTCTCTTTATAGGCGACGTCCGGCACACGCGGACGCCGCCCCCTCGCGGCTGGCCAAACTAATGCGGGTGGAGGGGAAACCCACCCCGTCCACCCGCGGCCACACTCAGGGCGGCATGAGGCTGTGGTAGGCGGGCCTCCGCCGCCCGGTTCGCCGGCGGCGGATCGGGTCCGAGTGGAGGTCGTCCTCCCGGGCCCTCTCCGCCGCCTCCTTCCGCGAGATTACTACCTCGCAGAAGGTTGATGGCGAAACCTAACCTAACCTAACCTAACCTAACCTAACGACTATATTCCTCAAAAACCGAATTTCTATAAAAAGTCTTATTTTGCACTACTACTATATAAGAGTGTATGTTTTCATGGGAAACGACTGTAGAAACAACCTTACAGAAGACTGCATAGATATCGCAGCACTTCTAGGGCAATCATCATTTTATGGTCCGGGTCCTCCCCAGAATAGGGCGGCAGTCGGCATGATTTTTAGAGGCTCCTGCATCACCACGATTGGGAACCAGAGATCCCAAGGAATTTGCCACCCGGTCACCATAAAGGCTTTCCGCAATTTTATTTGGAGTCCGCGCAGTGTGTTTTGACTTGTTTCCGTCCGTTTGACAACCCTATTGAGAAATTTCATCGTTTCCAGATAGGTCAAAGATTATAATATATATAATTAAGTAAAGTTCGGTATATGAAGCCTATCAAAATTTTCACAATTAGTATTGTTTTGTATAAAAACAATATTTGTTCAGCCAGCGAAATAAAAACAAAAGAGTATTGTTTAGCTCGTTCCACATTCTCCAGGAAACTTGCCCGGCGCAAAAACACTCTTACTCCGCCTCCTTTAAATTACATTATTTTTTTATAACATAGACGCAAATGAGGAGATTGACCCGTCAATCTCCTCATTTGCGTCTATGTGCCTGAGTGAAAGTTACTGCCGCCGCAACTCAGCAGTCATAAGCGCATTGCCGAGCATAAGGTGCGAATACGTTCTTTCTTTGAAGGTTTGGAGGTCGTATCGATCCGGAAATACTGCATGCGACACTTTGTTCTACAGATTGGCTGTGCAAGGCAAAAAGTTTCTTTGTTCGGTTTTTAGGCAAATAAGTAAATTCTTGCAGGAGTCGAATCTTGCGCGCGCATGAGAATGTGTGAACCGAAAGACATCCATAAAACATGACACATTTTTGTAATACCTATTATAGACTAACGCCATGCTGTTTTTTTGGAACGTGTAACTTCATTTTCACTCAAATTAAATAAAAAAATTAACACGTCATACACGCCATCACTCTGTTCGAGCCGTTTGTGGTATACTTTAGATCTCCCACCTTATAAACGTCATAATTAATTCAAGATAAATATAAATAACTCACTATTCGCTGCAAATGATTGGCACCGTCTTTGTATGATGTCTGCTCCCAGTTGCTTGCAAGATGTCTGGCTCCGTATATTGAGTCCGTAGGACCCCACTGTCTGAAGGCCTCTTCGCCGTCAAAGAATATGAACATGAGACTCAGCCGGTTGTTCTTGAGAGGTTCTAGCTCTCTGGACATTACCTTGGCCAGATTGATCATCATGGCGCAAGGCACTGCTGAGTCGGTCGCTCCTATAATAAAAACAAGGATCAAATTAAATACTGTTTTTTTCTTTTTTTTTTTTAAAGACCACTCCTGCACTCGGAATATTTCCGGTGTCGCCGGACTTTACAGACATACATGAAACGGACAAAAAGAATACCCAGACTCAGAACAACATTTTGTAGATCACAAAGTGTTGTCCCATATGGGGATCGAACCCACAACACTCAACGCAGTAAGAAGCGGCGAGGTGACCGCTTAAACCACTATGCCATTCGTTCAGTTTGGGCAGGCAATGCCCTATTACGAATAGGGCATTGTCTGCCCCAACTGCACGAATGGCATAGTGGTTCGACATGATAATAATGTATCATGAATAAACCTGAACATTAAACGTTTGGTATGTCCCGATTTGTTTCTTTTATGGCTTTTTCACGCTTTACTTCAGTTCGGTGCTTTTTTTTCTCCAACAAATAAAATATGGAATCCTTTTATCTTCGAGCTTAGGACTTTCGGAATGTAGTGACGTCTTATGACCTTGACTACCAAAATTTGTGCAATGCCCTCGCTACACAATTCTACTACATAATTAAGAGCTTTTTCTCGACAACATTTCTAGGTATCTTGAGAACTGAAAAATATTAAATGGTTCGCAGATTATCCGACCATTATCTACATAAAGACTGTAAAAATAGAAAGAACTTAATACAACAGACAAAGAAATTAATCAGTTTAATTCCGTTAATATCAGTTTTCTTAGAAGGGCGCAGCGACCTTGAAGAGGGCGTCCCTAAGACACGGCCTCCTGGGCGATGGCCGGGTCGGCCGACCTTAATGCCAGCCCTGACCGATCACACATCCGCGTTTCAAGTTTATTTTTTCTGGGACGTTAGGCCGTTAATTTGTTTGCCCGATTTCTTCTTACAGGACTCAAAAATATTTTTATATTATATATCTATCGATGTGCCAGTTTCCAATTTTTATGGCATAGGGGGCAGACAGCTCACTTAATAACTACCGCCGCTCCATGGACACTCACAACCCAAGAATCATTCTCAAGCCAGAATCAGGGGGAAGGAAGATTTGGAGTGATGAAACCTCACTCACTCAATAAAAGTATTGCTTAACACCAGTTTGCATGGATGGCGTAGTGGTTTAGCGCTGAGTATTGTGGGTTCGACTCCCACATGGGACAACACTTTGTGTGATCCACAAATTGTTGCTCTGAGTCTGGGTGTATTTTGTGTCCGTTTCATGTATGTTTGTTAAGTCCCCCACGACGCAAGATTTATTCTTAGTGCGGGAGTCGTCTTTTATAATCAAAAAATAAACAAAAGTGTTGTTTGAGGCTGTGATATCATTAACAAACATCCAACAAGACTTCGCATTAATAATACTAGTAATAAGTAAAACACTCACCAACAAAGGCATGCTCCCTCATATATTTGCTGTCATAATGGCATGCTAACACTAAATATCTATCAGCATTAGGATTTAATTTAGCAATAATATTTTTAAAGTTCAGTGTTCCAAATATGGGAGTTTGATCAGCAAACACATTTTCAGTCACATCCCACCCTAACCCCCTCATTTGATTGACAATATAGTTTCCGACCTTCAAATGGTTTGGGGTACCTACTACCCTTGGTATGAGAATCTCATCTAATACAGTTCTAAAATGTGTCATGTCTGACAATTGACTAATATTTCTTATGTCCTGGTCTGAAAGTTGTTGTGATTCATGAAAATTCTGTAAAAAAATAATAAATTAAATGCAATACTACTAGCCAAAAAATTCTTACATTTCTCTCAAGGAGTTTACTAAAAAGGTTGCCTAAGAAACTTCTCAGATTTATTACAAATATAACTTCAAATGACAAAATTCTTGTTTTTATTTAAATCTGGCTGGTGTACCAGACATTGTCGTGTATAAATTTTGAAAGTTTGTTACCAACCTTTATATGTGTCAAAAAAAGACAGCTTTAAGTTTTCTGACCTAAATACCCTTGTCTTATTTCAAGAAAATCCATGTAATATAATTTTAAACCGATGTTTATTGAAGTAAACAAGCAATAAACTAGAACAAGTATTCTATCTTTATAGTAAATAACACAGAATAATTGTATATATTTACTTGTAGATATTTCAGTGTTAAGGTTGTAAATAATATTTTGTGTCTCTATGTTATTATATCTACAAGAGGAAGATCAATCGTTATTGTGTCAGTAACTTATCTCTCTACTACGTTAGTAAGTCTGGTTAAAAACTTGTATTAGAAATTTTGTTCCTCTCTTCAAGTTTTACCACATTAAGGGACAAAAGGTCATATTACTGATAAATATGATTGATAAACATTATAAATGTGCGTTATAATGATAAAATTGAACAGGTTACTGGAATCGAACCCGAGACTTCAGCACAGCAGTCGCATATCACTGCACCACCAGGGCAGTCTGCATTTGCAAAATGGTTCAATTATTCTATACATGTTAATTAAATCGGTTACGTATTATGTTACGTATAATAATAATAATAGGGTATAATGTAGTGTAATCTAGTAATTTGGTAGTGTGATGGGTCGGAAGAGGAATTAAGTATGTAATCAACTTATTATTGCTGTGTGTGTGTTGTTCTATTACAAATAAATATTATAAAGAAGCAACAAAGAATTAATTAGCTTGCATCAATTAAACAGTATTTAACCGTGTAATAATGGAATCAAGTTTTCAGTAATGGCTTTTTAACCTAGCCTTTTGAAAGCCTTAATTGTAGTTTAGCATTAGCTTATAATCATGGGGCAGTGTTGTCTTCATGGCATTTGTGCTTAATGAAGAACTACATCATTACGAAAAAATATGTGCAAAAGAAAAAATTGTAGTCATACTGCTAATAAATCACACATAGCTATGTCAGAATTATTTGTTTATTAAAGAAAAAGTATCTATTAACATAACTCCTTATTCATTTTGTACTGTAAGAAAATTAATTTGAAATTGACAATTTGAAAATGAATTTTAATCGTTGGTTTACTGTGTCAAATAAGCTTTACAACCTTCATGAATATTAATTGAAACTTTTTTAATAAGTCTATTTTCTATGTGTTCTTTCCATATGGCCAGTGTTTTAATACTAGAATATTACATTAGAAACTATTTATCAGTGCTACTCGATAGTAACAGAACTAATCATAAAAGTATCAAAATAGTCTAAATCAAAACACTTAACAAAAAGTTCGTGCTCAATTTTAAAACTCAATGTTGACAGTAAAAACTTATCATAACTTTTTTTCATCAATACTACGTCTTCTAAAAAATTAAAAATAAATTAAGATTAACCAACAGACCTTTTCTTCGTAAAATTTAAGTTTCTTTTTAGTGTTAACTGATGTAAAACACAATATTGCAATTGCAAAGTAAATGACTGACTTCTCCATTATAATTTTAAAAACAAATCAAAGAAGTATAACAATCACTAAAAACCTTTAAACTTATTTACTATGTCAATAAGGAGTGCACTTTGCCACAACTCAGTGATAAAAACTATTTATTACTAAACTTGTTTGGACAACCTTTCACCTCCCACTGGGGTGTACACATACAACTGATTTTGACAATAAACTTCAGTGTTACCAGTCACCATCATTTGCATTACCCTCGATCTGGGCTATTAACTCTAACACTAAGCAGCTTCTTGAAATGAATCAATGAATTTTTAGAAAATTAATATAGAAACAAACTTCCTAAAATATAAGTCTCATATTTGAATGGTATACATATTCTATCACGCAAAATTATAAAAGAGGAAACACCAATACATGGTTTTGAAAAAGCTGAATTTAGGGGTAGTTTTTTGAACGTGTATCCCTGAAAGGCAAAGATTAACGGATCACGTAGACGGTCAAACACTTTCACTATTCATAATACCCTAAACCTTCTCAATGTAGACTCCTAGACTTATCCTTTAGTGGGTAAGTATAGTAGCCATTCTCCGGTGCTGGGACCGGAGAATGGCTACTATACTTACCCTGATTACCTTACTGATTTTTTATTTTGTATTATAATGCCAGTTATAGTTTAAACCAAGTTTGGTACAACTTTGAAAATCGGGTAGTTGGAGCCCAAACAAAACTCCGACAACAGCCTTTCTACAAAATTTCGGTATCTAGCTAGTCGACCTACCTACTACCTAGTACCACAACCCAAGTAGTATAGTGAAGGTCTAATGGCAGTCACTCCTAGTAGACTTAAAGGCAACCCTAACCTTGTTTGGGAAAAAGGGTCGGAGGAATAAAATGGCTAAACTATTATAACAATACACTTAAAACTCTCACATGTTGATTCTCAGTCGGGTTTTGAAATAAAGGTAACTTCTAGAAAATTAAGAATATACACAACTTGAGTTTTAAGTGAATTTAAGTTGTGATGTTTCGGAGCAGATAAATAATTTAATATGGTTATTTACGGTGCAAAAAAACAAACTAATCTTTTAGTATATCTAAGTCTTTTATTAACCGTCTTCAAAAAAGAGGAGGTTATCACTTCGGATGTTTAATTTTTTTATGTTTATTCGGGCATAGTTTCGTCATATGTAGACGGATAATCAAAATTCTGTTTTTGTTTGCAAGGGGCTTATTCTAAATTTCATTTAGATCTGACACGATGACTTTCGGAGACAGATAACGGTACTTCAAAAAATGATAGCAAATCGACGAGGTTTTAGTGCTCTTTGTTAGCAATGTTTGAAGTCGGTACAACTTTTTTTTAAGAAGGATTTTTTTTATATTTATAGAAGAAACAATATTTCTTAATCTTTGACGAGTCCTCATGACGTCACCAGCTCTTCAATGACGTAAAACTATCGTCGTTATGTGTACTGGCAGTGAAAGGAAAGGGTGTATTTGACGTTATATGTGAGGTAAAAGAAATACGACACTTCTCCGTAAATACCAACTTACCTTACTAATCATATACCACGTACATATTTATAGTAGCTGTACCTACACATATAAACCTACCTACATGCCGATTGTAGAAAAACATTAGGATCAATTACTTCTCAGATAATGTAGACTAAACCGTCATCAGATTTAGCCTGAAATAAACAAAAAAATTAGTTTAAAATCTAGATTTTACACAAATATAATCACTAATTCCGCTCAACTGCGCACATGAACAAACACATACACACACTTACCCAGGCGCGCACACACATGCTTCCGCATGCACACACATACACACGCACACAAATAAAAGTCCTTCCTCAAACTTTTCGATTACAGCGAGAACCTCTGATTTACAGGTGACAGTGGTTCCTAGTGCTGTTCTGAGTTTGGTCAGGGAACAAGAGGACGCCTTTGACTTGGCAGAGACTTTTATGTCCGCGAGTAATCGCGTCCTCAATCGTTTGAGTATTCGACTGCCAAATGTCTCGTCTTACCTGTTACCTGACTCTTTACCTGCCTTAGATGAGATAGCGTTTATTGTTTCTCTTCTTTTCCTCATCAGATCCAAGGTCTCGCTTGTGAGCTTCGACTTGCATCCAACACTCTTCGGTCGAAAGCGATTAGAACCCACTTCGCGGGCGACACGTACCAGGCATCATTTACGTCCTGCACGGTTTCCAACATGGCGAACCAGTTTCGAAGCTCCAACTGGAAGCTTCCAGCTTCAACTTGAAGGCGAAGAAGTTTATCAGATAAAGCCCCCGGTCCTCGAGGAAGTTCACCAACCTTTGCCCCAGGTGATTTCTGCGCGCATAGCCGTACGGTCCTACCCTAGTTTCGACATATTCTTGTATCCAAACTTTCGGATTGAAATCGCCCATGACAACCGTGAGAGATTGGTTGGTACGAGTCAGAGCCTTAGCTATGTCTTCGTACATGACTTCGAACTCGTCGTCAGGATCTGTGGACGTGAGAGCGTACACTTGTAGAACTTTCAAGGAATACCTTGTGACTATTCTTAAGGCGAGTACGCTACCCTTGACGACACACTGCCAACCTCCTTCACGTTGCTTTTGAGCGATTTATGGACCATAAATCCGACGCCACCTTGGGATGGTTGGTCTACTTGTCGGAAGTAGAGGATGTGACCGGGCTATCATATCCTCACCCTGCCTTCGGACTTCTGATAGCACCAAAACATTGCAATTTATATGGCTCACCTCCACTTCCTATTCTAAAAGGCGATCGTCCAGACGCAGAATGCGTTCGTCAAGACAAATCCAATGGCATCGAGGGGTAAGACAGGGAGACGTTGATCAATTTATGGTAGACGTCTTTAACACGCTCGATAGGAGCGGACGAGGAATCAATATCAATAGCCAATATCTGTCACACCTGCGATTTACAGACGATATAGTCATTCTGGCGGAATCTCTGCATGATCTGGAAGAAATGCTTAATAGTCTGGACAATTCTTCAAGGTAAGTGGGACATGAGATGAACATCGATAAGACAAGAAACATGCATAATAAGCATGTACCCTCGAGTCCCATTGACGTAAATCGCGCTATTGTCGAGGTTGTGCAAGAATACCAAATTCCAAATTGCCAAATTCAGCCGGCTCAACTTCGATCGGGAGGCAAATAGAAAACTTCATCTGAGCTGGGCGGCGTGTGGGAAGCTCAGTCATATCTTCGGGTCTCCGATATCGCAATCGTTAAAATCTAAGTTGATTAACCAGTGCGCCCTACCCGTAATGGCATACAGAGCCGAGACGTGGATACTCACCGTTGGACTAGTCTACAAGTTTAAAGTCGCCGATAAAATTCGTAACAAAGTTATTCGACAGACAACTAGAATAACCGACTTCGCAAGGAGAATCGGTACGCTGAAGTGGAAGGGGGCCGATCATATTTTCAGACGGACTGATGGTCGCTGGAGCCCAAATGTGCTAGAGTGGAGACTGCGATTAGGCAAACGTAGCATAAAGCGCCCGGAGGCACGATGAACTGACGATTTTAAAAAAGTGGCAGCGAATGGATGATCCTAGCCAGCCAGCCTAGCCAGCCAGCCAGTAGACGGTAATAGCCTGATGATGATGATGATATAGTATCCTCTTTGGGTTTATTTATAACCATCTTTAATTAATGTTTCATCATGACTGTTTTTGAGTAATTTGAGTTGGAGTTATTCGATCGGTGTGCCCTTACACAAAAGAATTAAGAAATTTAGTTTCTAAGCAAAATGTAAAAGATTATTTCCATCTAGAATATATTCTATCATTCCTCGAATAAATTAGCTACAAGTTATTCTGTACGTACTATAGGTATCTAGTTATAAGTAAATTAATGGTTTTCTCGTGTAGTAGGTCGCCTATATTATTCTACGTGAGAGACGTGTTATTAAGTTCATTACATTTCGCAGCGTCTCACAAGTAGGCAGACCTTTTCTTATTGCGTCAACTTGCTCTGACATCCCCGGGGAAATTTAGTTAATACTTATTTCTTGTTTGCCTGAAATTACTCGGCATCTTATTTTTTCTTCTTACTTTTCATGCAAGATGGAGACAAAAGGATATTACTAAATATATTAGGAAGTTTGTTCATCTTGGAAATCGATTTCTGTGGAATTTCCCTTTACTTGGCTGTGAGACTTTGTTTCTTACCGAATTTTATGATATAACTCTACGTCTTGGTTTATTTTTAGGTCGTATTTTTTAATTGCATTGAACACAAATATTTGTCGTACTCATTTGATGTTTTATATTTCTTAAATTCAAAAAAAGACCTTGACAGACAGATAGACAGACGTATAAGGCATTAGGATTTCTTTTTAGGGGAACGGTTTCATTTTTCGATAAAACTAATGCCATGAGCAAAAAGATCTCCAAGATAAGTTTATTAAAAAAAAGTATATGGGAACAAACAAAAATCGCCTATTTTTGCTGACGGTTAAAAATCATAAAACAATATACATCAGCCTATTAAACGGAAAATCATTGTGAAATCTGTATACCGATAGCTATAATATTGCGATGTCGAATGAATTATAATAACATTGGCTGCATCACTATCGCAACCAAATGTAAACTTTTGTAAAATGTAAAATGTTTACTAAACATTTGACTGCCTTGGTGGTGCAGTGGTATCGTATGCGACTGCTGTGCTGAGGTCTCGGGTTCGATTCCCGGGTCAGACCAAATGCTTGTATGATCCGTCAATATTTGTTTCGCAGTTTGGGTGTTTTCTATGAATAGTATGTATGTATTTCCAAAAAAAATACGAGAAAGGTATAAAAAAGTAAATGAATACTTGTATACTTTTATATACCTTTCTTATATCAGTCAATCTAGCTTTCATAGGACAAGCTCTACTTAGTTTGAAACTAGATAGCGTTGTATGTCAGATGTCCGAAATATTTATTTATTTATTTTCGTGCAAAATGTATCTAAATATACTTACCTAAAGTGCAGTTCATTGCGTGCTCTCTTAGTTACAATATAGTTAGTACTTAACTTTATAAGTTTATTAGTGTATTACATAATACTTTGTGGTTTTTTGTCAATAAAACTTAAAAACAAAAGTTTTTGGAGTTCCCGATAATATGATATATTTCCTTTGTAGAAATTGCAGTCCTGACTTCTTTGTCTAGACGTAATTATAGCGCAACTTGCCACGACGACAATTTTTTAACGTAGCTACGTTCTAGGCTATAACTAATATGCGAGAACGAATATTTTCGGTGTTTTACGCACGCACGAGCGTAACTACATCGCATTTCGACTTAATTCTTTGTTATGAGGTAATAACAAATATAATAAATAATAATATAGCAAAATGTTAAGTACACAATTCCAAAATGGCCGTCTAATAAATATTTGCTAATCTAAAAACAAGATTGTTATTATTGAAGTTAGAAATATTATTTTTAAAGGAGGAGAATAATAGCCTCCATTATGTAATCGGCATTCTTTACTAAATAGAGATGACGCCAGTAAGTTGTAATCTTCGAAATTACATCAGAGAATTTCGATCATCGCACGTAGCTGACTCAACTTTTTGTTATTGTACACTGAAAGTCGCCAGTTTTATTACTAAAGTCTTCAAATTACTTCTAGAATATGCTAAACAGTTGAGTACCGTTCAGCAAATAATTTAATTCTTTACATTCGAAATATGAAATACTACCAATACTTCGTCAAACGTTAAACTTTCTAAAAGTTTCTAAAACTTTCTATTTTCATGTAGAATACGTACCTTTATGAAAGATTGTCTTGGTCTGGCAAGATGGAGAATCGCAATTGTCCATATACACTATTTAAAAAATTTGACAACAATAATTTTCCGCTTAATCCACAAACTTGACAGAGTCCCAGTAGACCCTCTGCACTTAACGATGTGGCTACCTATGGCGGCTAAGGTTTGCCGGGTTTGTCCAGGACTTCCTTCCTAGGGTATATCCTAATCCCTTCCAATAGACCCTGATAGTCACGTACTACCAGGTGACCAGTCTACTCGTCTGTTAAAAAAAGGCAAAAGTAATTGTAAAATTTTAAACGGATTGAGGGGTCTATGGACCCCTGGTCGGAACGAAGGGCCGCAAGAAGTCTAGGAATAGTCTTGATATTCATTTTTCGGTCTCGCCCCCATCCGCTCAGAGCGTGTAACACGCGATAAGGAACTTCGATTCAAAAATGAATTAAATTAAATGTTAAGTCTGTTTGTGTACGCTTCAAAAACTCAAAAAAGTCTGCACTGATTGCACTCGAATTTTAACAACCGCTTCAAGGATGGTTTTTATCTATTTTTCTCGTCAATTTTGTTCGAGCAAAGCGTGGCAAGGTACAGCTAGTTGTATTAAAGGATTTAGCTAAATCTTTAGAGATGCACGTAACTCGTGGGAGCGTTATAGGCTCCCACGAGTTACGTGCAAACCGTAATATTGTTTTGTAAAACTTATGAGTAAAATAAAAACGGACGCTTATGTAACCGTCTCTCCGGGTAAAAATAAAGTTAGGAAATCCGGAATCCGGAATTCTATTATATATTCTGTTCTAATCCGAATATTCGCTGTAGCTTCACTACCTATTTAATATAATTTATCCTATGAATTTCCTATTATTTACGTTTTAAAAAAGTATTGAAATGATGTGTCGAGCGAGATTACATAGGGGTAAGAATACAAAATATAGTGTTGAACAAATGCTGCTTCCTTTTTTTAAAGGCGTATATAATCTAATAGTAAGAATTATTGCTGTATTTTTTTTCTGGTATACGGGCATACAAGCACACGCATCAAAAAGGTTAGAACCTTACTTATTCGGGGAAAAGCTACGAAAAAAGAAAACTATGTTAACATTTGTTTTCTGTGAGGCTCTGGTATCCCTCCGGTCGAGCCGGCTGATATGTAGTACCTATTTGGGCATATATGCCAAAACAATCATGGCTCTCCCACGGCTAGCCTTGGAGTTCTAGCCCTGTATGAAAGCTTACCAGGCTCTGATTCTATACAAACATAAAATATTTAAAAATGGAGGCCTTCTTAGCATACTCTTACATTCGTTATTACTATGAGGTACTTCACCGATTCGATATTTCACCGATGGAATAAACAATAGTATTTACAGAATCTGCCACGACAACTTTTCATAGGAATGGTTGTATTTGTACCTATTCATCATCATCATCATCATCAACAGCCTTTAATAGTCCACTGCTAGACATAGGCCTCTTCTTAGACAGGAGGTTTTGGCCTACTGTATCATGCTGGCCAGACGGGTTAGAATAGGATTTGTTTGAAGTTTTCCTTCTCTTTGCAGTGCTGTTGTCCTGAGTAGTTTGCTGCCTTAGTCGGCTCTAACGACACCCATGGGATGAATAAGGGTAGTAACACTCTGTATTATTAATCCGTCACCACACACACAGTCTTGTACCTATTAGTGAATAAAAAAAGAGCGAACCTTACAGTAATCACGTTTAGCGGCCCATTCCAGCACCGCGCGCCTTCATTGGTCAGATCAAAAACTGTATGCCTCCCCAGCTTCCCGCTGCACACTTCTTTCCTTTTACACGAAATATCTTCTTCGGACAACTCACACACGGCAGAGCATTGATCCCAAACGAGGTAGAGCCTGTATTATTATAACAAAACTGCTGATAAACAGACTTATATATCTCTAAATACATACATATTACCTATGGGTAAATTACACCCAGACCCAGAACAAATGCCCTTGCTCATCTGTCGTCAGCAGACAGGGTCACTAACCACTAAACCAGCAGGCCTGCCCAAATTATTAATACATATTGCTGCAAAACGAGTGGAAAGCATCTTAAATAGGCTTTGAAATAATCAGCTCTGATAATAATAAAGCCATTACCTATATACTAAAAACAAAACTTAAAACTTTGCAATAAGTAGATAGCTGTAAGTACTACGCAGATTAAGTAAATTAAAAATAAGAGACAGTTTTTAAAAAGTTATTTATTTCAGTACTTTATGTCATAACTAATACTTTATAGACTAACGTTTAATTTTACAAAATAATATGTGTTACACTACATCTACATTCAATCATCACACCGACCATGTTCTGTTAACACTCACAGCTTCATAAAGTTCACAAAAAGGTTTGTCTTACATATTTACATTTTACTTGTTTCTGGAAACTAATATCTTAAAAGAGACTAGTGCCTAAGGCATTTCAGTTTTTATTTATTTTACCTGTTTTTGAGTAACTATATTCATACTACTTTAGCTGAATAAAGGTAACATTATTTTTGAAATAGTCATACATTTGTGATACTTTAATATAAATACTCTAATTCGACAGGAACAGGAAAATGTTATGTATATAATATGTATATACAAATCAATATTAAAAGTAGACAACAGATTTTGAAGAAATTTTTATCATTACAACTTTCATTCAGAGTTACGACGCTTTTTTAAATCCTTAAACTAATAAATTGGACTACTTAAAATCTAAGTGTGAATGACATATAAAAGTAAAAAAAAATTGCCTATACAATTTTATAAAAATAATATACCTAGTAAAATATTTTAACTTATTGTATTAATATTTGCTATTCACATTTTGGTATTATTAACATTTTTTTTAAATATCGGGGGTCCAGCCATAGAACCATAAGAGTTGATAAATTATGTACCTACTAAGTAAATAAGTTTGATTAAATAGGACAATAATAACATTTTATAAGTACAAAAACAGATTTTATAAATTGACAAAGGCTAACCTTTTGTAAGCATTTTAATACTTAACATTTAGGTAATAAAAGGTCGTTCAACGACTATAAAAAAGAAATTAACAGGCTATTATATTGCAGTCACAATGCAATTTTACTTACAAGTTAATATATAGACAAGAAACCCCACTCTGCCAAAGAAAACTTTATGTATATCTATTAATTACATGTGTTTTTAAATGTTTCCGAAGTTTGTTATCATAACCGATACTACGCTTTAGTTTATATTGTGTTATGTGTAATTGCGTGTCTCCAGCTATTCTAACTCGCATCGACCTTTTTGGATAAATGCGACTGGAGAACACAACCTCTCCCTTACCACAGAACACTTCTATAGAACTGTAGTCAACAAAAACTCGCCAATGAATATGGGTCAATGGTCTCCAATCTGCTTTTCGGACTCCGTCTACACCTCCCCGGTCCACGCTCACGTCCCCGTGCTCTGCAGAATACATTATAGTATATTGTCGGTCACCACTCCACTCCAAAACAACTGCCGCATCGTATATAACCGTACTAGAGTTAATTATCATCTCAAAAGCCCTGGTACCAGCAAGGAACGCCTCCCCAGGACTGTACCACGCGTCTTCCATTACTTCAGTTCGCAATTCTATAACTTCTCTTACTGGAGTCATTAATATTCTTCCTTGAGTTGACAACTTTAACTCCCTCACTATGGTCAACATGCTCGCCCAGCCAGCATTGGATTCCTCATATTCACTGTCCCACATGCCTAGCCAAGCCACCAACAGCCTTCTTCCGTCCAAGCTTTGCATTGTTTTTGCTGCATAAAAATCGTGTCCATAATCGAGTTCATTGAAGGTTGCTGTTGAAATTTCCAAGTCCTCGAACTGTAAACTATTGTAATTAAACGTTCCCACTACATATCCAGTTTGGTACAAATTCCGGAACCTATAGGAGTCGCTTTGTATGCCTTGAACTGATAGAATTAGAACATGAAATCCGTCAATTTCAAAGAAGTCTGGACTCTCCCACATGTATCCCATATCACCGTATGACTTAGCTATAGTACCATTTAATCTCCAGTTGAACAGATCAGGTGAAGTATATAGAAGTAGATATGCCTCTTGCATCCTCGAAGTACCAATGAGCATGTACCAGGAATTCCTGAATCGCCATACTTTTGGATTCCTGAACTCTACACTGCCGTAAGGTCCTTCACGTATAACTGGATTGTATAAATATTTCTGGAAGATGATGCCATCAGCGCTTATAGCGACATTCTGACTTTGGAAGGTCTTGTTATTAATAAGTAGGTTTCCAGTATAGAATAAAGTCAAATAGCTGTTGTGAACTACAGCGGAGCCAGATAAACAGCCATGTCTGTCGTAATGATCTTTGGGCACCAGTGCAGGAGGATAGAACGCCCAATCGACGAGGTTATCGCTGATCACGTGGCCCCAATGGATTGGACCCCAAGCACCGTTGTATGGATGATACTGGTAGAATATATGATACTGTCTCTTGAAGTAAATAAATCCATTCGGGTCGTTAAGCCAGCCAACAGGCGCCGATATGTGATACATAGGCCGATACTTCTTCTTCAATAGGTATCTCTTCTGTTGGATAAAGTCCTCGATATGGGCCAAGTCATGAACGAACTCGGCCGAAACGGCAAAAACCCACACAATTATTAGAAACACTTGCATCTCGGAGAGTGGTAGACGAAGTACTAAAGATGTTCGGGAAAGACTATCCAAGTGTAACTGAAAAGTTAATTACAATAGCTTGTGTTTGTAAACTTCGAATTGAATGATAACTGTATAAACTCTAGTAAGGGACATGTTGTAAACAATTACGTAACTATTTGTTGGTCATTCTTTAATGACTACACATATTGCACAACCAATTTTTGTACTATTGTTTACCTGTTACGCTTAAATTAGTATATTTGCATTTATAGTGGAGTATCGCGCATGCAAAAAAAATGTGAAAAAAATGTAACCCACTCACAATGTGGTAAACTCACTAAGTAACAGTTTGTCAAGGTAACTTTTAAGTGATATGACAGACATGTGCATAATTGAAGGTAATACATGTTCTAATTTGGAATTGGAATTCTAATTTGGAATTAAATTTTAGCAGCAGGAAAATATTTTTTTAAATCAGGATAAAGGAATTAAAAAAATACCTACCCTACATTTAATTACGTTTCTCATAGGGTTTTACTATTTTCAATGGCATTCAACAAGCTGTTGAATGCACGAATGAAGAGGAACGACAGACACGATAACTTCTTCAAAATAATACTGGAAGGAAAAATAGAAGGAAATAGAAAACGAGGACGGCCTAGATCAACATACATACAGCAAGTGAAGGAGAAAGTGGGAGTTGTGGCCTATCAAGAGGTCAAACAGATCGCAGGAAATAGAGAGGAGTGGCGATTGCTCCACCGACAAGGGCTTAGCTCTTAAATTGAGAGAGAGAGAGAGTTTCAACCACGGAGTGTCACCACCCTTATTCATCCCGTGGGTGTCGTAAGGGCCGACTAAGGGAGCAAACTACGCAGGACAACACCACTGCAAAGAGAGGGAAAACTTGAAACAAACCCTGTACCAACCCGTCAGGCCAGCGTGGTAGGCCAAAACCTCCTTTCTGAGGAGAGGCCTATGTCCGGGACAGGTAGGTATAACAACACGACGAAGTAGTACGCTCTTTTCTTGAATAATAACTTAAGTAATAACAAACCTGCTTTCGTTTCCGGACTTTTACTTATGTTTAGTGTTACTTCCTTATTCTTTGTGCGTGTTTTGATTAACTGTGTGCTATGTGAATTAAAAATCTTTTCTCGGACTGCGGTATGTATTTTTTTAACGAAACTACACTCCTCATAAAAAGCTTAAAGTTGTTAAAAGGTCCACGAAAGGGCTGGTCTTAGACAGACGTGTTTAACCCATGTTGAAAACAATACTGTGTTAGTGTTACACACAAGATGATATCGTTTGTTGACAGTAACTACTTCGACCTATATTCAGCAATAGACGTTCCGTGTGAAATTGAAAGAAGAGCAAAGATAACAAGACAGAAAATTACAAGGATAGATCTTCATTAGGGCTGCCATTCGTCCCGGTACACCGGGAGCCTTTTTTTCTATTTTTTTTTAAAGACAACTCCCGAAGTAAAAAAACATCCTGTGCCGCGGGGGACTTTACAAACATTCATGAAACGAACACAAAGAACACCCAAACTAAGAACAACAATTTGTAGATCACATAAAGTGTTGTCCCATGTGGGGATCAACCCCACAACACCCAGGGCAGTAGGAAGCGGCGAGGTGATCGCTTAAACCACTACGCCATCCGTGCAGTCGAAATGTAGGTCCTACATTTGTAGATATAAGTGCGATGAAAGGGAGACTATTCTAAGGTTTTAAATTTAGTAGTGGCACCCCCTAAAATCCAGCAGACGATGATTTAAAGAAAACAGCTATGTAAACCTAATCATCGCAATGCTTTGGTATGTTCCCTCTTGTGAACATACGAGAACTAAACCAATTTCCGCTATTTCAAATGCAATAATTAAATAGCTATACTGACCTAGCTTAGATCCATAGAATGTTAACTATAATTTCGCACGCCTTTTTCTCACACATCGTTAACTAATAATAATAATATTATTATAAAACATTAAATTAATAGACGAATACTTCCTGTCTGTAACGCAGGAAGTATTGACATATCTGTAATTACCTAGTAGTGTGCCAAAGTTAAATACGAATTTATCTTAGAGACTCAATTCCTTGAAAAAAATTACTTCCTAAAATTTCTTTTATAATTATTCAATGTATGATCATAACATGTCAATAGAAATAAATTAAGGTCTAATAAAGTCTATTATGGAAATTTTGTAAATTAAAAAATAAACTCGTTTACAAAGTACTCAATTTGATGTAAGTACATAGCGTTTGCGGATTTAATACATCATACATATTTGTACAAAACCAAATATCATCATCATCATCATCAGCTCTTAATAAGCCGCTGCTGGACATATGCCTCTCCTTAAAAATGAGGTTTTGGCCTACTCTACCACACTGGCCAGACAAGTTGCTCTTTGCAGTGCTGTTGTCCTGCGTAGTGTGCTCCCTTAGTCGTCTCTTACGACACCCACGGGATGAATAGGTGTGGTGACACTCCGTATTCTTAATCCGTTACCACACGGACAATTGAAAACCAAATAACGTGTACGATCAGAGAGTGGACGAGTATCTAGTTCCTGCTCTTTAAATGCACTGAAAAGTTGTAATGATGGTTGGTACATAAAGGAGCTCAGTTTGAAACGTTATTTAAAAAAACTATCTGTCAAATATATATAAAGCATAAAATATAAAAATCGATAAAAAATAATTGTAACACATAAACTACTCAGATAGTCCCCGTGTTACAGTTTAATGTTTATAACCCTTGCTGAGGATGTCTATTGGAAACCAAAAAGAAAAAAGTCAAGTTATCAATAAAAATGCAGTTGAAAGTTCCAGAATAATAGATTTTTCCACAGGCTATCGAGTTTGAATAATAGGTACGTGATCGATAGTTTCTCCCTAGTGTTAGATTTGCAACTTTTATCTTTTATTGTTAAAACAAAATTTCTTAACGAATCTGTTTCCCTTTATAAGATGCAACAGGTCCCTCCATTTCACTGAGTATTAATCTTATTGTATTTTCTTAATTAATAAATTTATCTGTTTTTTCTTTTCTTCTTTTTCTATAACAAAATATACCCATTCCTTTACACACAACCATTATTCAAATGTCTATGGTTGATTTTCATTAATTTCGTCCATAATAAACTGGATCTGTTTTGGTGCTACGCTTACCTTATTGTTTTTGTGTGTGAAAACTTCAATAAAACAAATTATTCGTTTAAAACATTATATGTTTTCTCTATAACAAAATATACACATACCTTTATACACAATAAATATTTGTATACCCTTGAACCAAAGACAATTAACTAACTTTAATTTTATGATTAATTAAATTATATAAATTAGTATATATAAGTAATAAGTGATATAATTACAACAACAATAAAAATTATTTGAGTCTGTTACTTAATTAACTGGTAATATAATAAAACACTTGATTGGAGTATAAAAATACTCAATTAATTTACATATTAATATTTTTTTTGATTACATACAAGATCATCAAACATATTAATTACAAAAGTTTATTTGTAAAATTATATATTAAAATATATATTATGTATTGGTAAAATTATTTTTATGAATACGTCCTAAATTAGTTTCGTAAATAGTAATAACTTTTAAAAATCAAAATTTTAAAATTTTGTGATCATAATAAAGCTTGTAACACTGATATTGCAGACATTAAAAAAATGACCATTAGTATTTTATGTATTGTGAGCCCCAAAAATAAAAACAAATCATTTAAGAAAAACGTACTGTTGTGTAATAAAACATTTTTCTACATAACTTAACTTGACGACCTTATTAAGTGACATTTAGTGTCATATTTAGTGATATGAGAAGAAATATCAATAAATTAGGAACTTTTAGGCTTATTTTTGAAAATGAATATTTTGTGATTTAGACAAATTCATTAGAAAAAGAAACGACTACAGCATTGAACGAATACAGCATTACTACAACCCTTTTAATTCTAATATTGCACAGGATTGCACAGCATTTAACTCATCAAACCCGTATAAGACGATTTTACAGGGACTCAGCAAAAGCGAGAATACATACAGGCGGGATTAGTATAGCATTTTCTCGTAATAACAATTCCTTCAAAAATCAATTCCGATCTAAGCTTGACGTTACAAATGTCATAATTTTTTATTAAGATATTTGACCTTCTGGTCAGTACTGCCAAGACCTACAATTTTAATGAACCCTTACTAGAGGAATTAAAAATTATAATGCAGGATGGTTTTAAAACAATAGTGATTTGCGAATGTATGAGTGTAGAAACGAGTTATTTACAATTCACACACATGTGATGTCTTCACATCACATCACACCCATCATAATAATATAATTCCCCGAATAACACACACTTGTAAACCTGTCCAGGTATTTCGTTTGTCTTGCGTACCTAACATGCGATGTAGGGAAAATAAAACGTTTTATAATAATATACTAATTCAGAGTAGGTATTAACTTACATATTTATTAAGTTATTAGAAAGTTATCATAATGTTCTGTATATAACAGAACATTATGATAACTTTCTATGTTATGTTAACAAATTATCGTTTCGTACGAAAGCTGGACACCTGATTGGTCACCTGATGCGTCATTATTTTCTTAACGCGAATGGCCTTTAAGTAAGTTACACCATTACGTATTATCTATATATATATATATATAAAAGAAAGTCGTGTTAGTTACACTATTTATAACTCAAGAACGGCTTTACCGATATGGCTGAAAATTGGTGAGGAGGTAGCTTAGAGCCATGAGACGGACATAGGATACTATTTATTCCCTATTTTTTTTGTATCGGCGTCGATCACCAGATGACAACGGTGGAACTGTCACAACAAAAGTGAAAAGAACGGATTTCGTTGTCGACAACAGTTGGATTGTTCCATATTCACCACTTATTTCTAAAACGTTTAAGACACATTGCAACGTTGAGTATTGATCGGAAGACCATCTACGTTGTTTGTTTTTGCGCCTGATAAGAAAACAAAAAATGTCGTGTATCACAAGGTACTTAAGTGAAGAGCAACCTATGTACTGAAATGCAGAAACAATAATAAATGATTAATGTACTTCATTTTTTTCTAAGAAATAAATTAACTTACTAAATTCGAAAATCGGCTTATTTATTGCCTTTAAGGCGGAACAGAGTTCGCCGGGTCAGCTAGTAGTATATATAGTATTATTTTTAATAACAATACTAAAAGTAATAATTTATTTTAGTTTGATAACAAGAATTTACAAATTAAATTTTGCAGTGCGTCGTCGGTAAGACGAATCGTACAAGCGTGTTAAAATGTATGCAAATATGCTCTAAGCTATAGTCACTGATTTGACTGATACATCATGTAATATGCGAGAAATCGTATAAAGCGTGATCGTCTTAAGCGGGTTTCACAGCAGTTAAATAAATCAGAGCCTAAAACTTTAAATAAATTTTTGTGTTACAAGTTGTATCACAGAATTAAAAAAGTTTATTAATTTACCTTAAAATTAAAAAATATATATGCTTTAAAACCTACATAAATGTTTACATAATTATATTATATATATTGAGCTTATTCTCTTTAAAAGAGATTTTATGGAATGTTTGTTTTAAACTACCCTCAACATCAGCCTAACTAATTTAAATAAAACATATTAATATCTTTATTGTGCTTATGATAAGAAAACATTTTGTATAATTTTTTACAGGATCTTCATTGAGACTTGATTATGTATTCAAAAACCATTACTTAAAAGTTTAATATCATTTCTGAGAGTTAAATTTTAATTAATAGATGGCGCCACTTAGGCCCTTTCCTTTCATCTTTTTTTTATCATCATTGCGATTGTTTCTATCTATATAATCTAATTAAAAATAAAGAGAGGGTCATAGCTATAGTTAAGCAACCCCAAACGGGTCAGTATATGGATGGGTGACCATTATTGGGGGAAATCGTTACGGGTAGTTGCGAGCCCTAAAAATCCGTCAACAGTCTTTCTACAGAACTTTAATATTGCTTAGTACTAGGGTTGTGGAGAACCTAGTTCCGGACTAGACTCGGTACACAGAGTCAAGTGAAATTAATAATTTATTGTGGTTGGGAGCAGCGAAGGCAAAACAACGGTCGTGCACCAATGAGATTGACCGACTAAGTAACGATGGAACTGTTGGAGAGATCATCCGCTCCAGATGCAACCCTGATGCTGACTACGATCCTCAGACATAAGGGACCGAGCGCCGGGCATCCTCCAAAGACACAAGTGAGTAAAATCGTAAAACCTTTTAACAAATCATTACGCTTATCTTATTATTGCTGATTCCTCCAAAATATTGCGTAGATCTGTCAAGCGCGGTCAGGATGCGCAAGCGCATGATGCAGGTCGTGCCAGAGTGCGGCGTGTCGCTTGTGAGCTAAAGCGCGCGCTTTAAGTAGAGCGGGCAGAGCTTCTAGTGCACGAAGAGCGTAAGCACGTGCAACTGCGCCTTCCTATTGAATTAAAGAATAGAGGAGGGTGAATATATCATTATTTTTAATACTTACAGCATTTTTGTATGATTTGAAGTGTACCTTGTGTCTATTAATATAAGATTGAATTTGGCTTAGAAGTGTTGATTCGGCCTAATTGATTAAGTACGTATTTTAAGAGCATGTTGGCTGATGCACGTAACCTTTTGCTATTTAATTTACACTCACTAAACCACTAAACCCCTAAACATCATTGTAGAGCCGAACAAAATCTTTAATAGTTTTTGTTTCTATAGTTAAACCGCCGTAAGCTTGGCCCTCCTGATGGTTTGGGGGATGCGGGGCGGGGGTGCATTCAACCAATTAGCTAGTGCGTCGCTGTCCGCCGGCAGTGACTAACGTGAAAGCATGGCTGTACGTGTTATTTATCTTAAGACTGCTACACACGATATTATTTTGCAAAATGGAAAATCTGCCGACTCTGCGTCACAAAAAGGTTTAAAAACTTGAAGTTCGGCTTACAGAGATTATACTGTTAAAGTTCTAATAAAGAATATTTATAATGTTAGTTAATTTTTAAATTGTATCTGAATATAATTTACATGATGAAGATAAGGTGATTTTATTAAAATTATTTTACTATATTAAATTTTACAATTAATCATAAAAACTTACAGTACACTGACATTATAATACATGGAAATAAATTCGATTTTTATTACATTGTGTGAAGATTAAATCTCAAACAAATAAATCTGAAGATATCGAGTTAGTACATCGTGTCATGTATAGCCGACCGCATCACCCGCTCCGCGTCCCGCAAACGATCAGGAGGGCCAAGCTTACGGCGGTTTAACTATAATCATTAATCAAAAATCACATCTAATTCAATATAAAAAAAATAACCATTAAAGCTTTTTTTAATGTTGATAATTACATCTTTGCTCCTAGTCGGCGATGCGTTACATAAACAGAAGTCCTAGGCGAACGAGCAGATCGATCACCTGATGGTAAGCGAACTCCGCCCTTCATAGCCCACATTCACTCATCATCTGCAACTCAAGTCAGAAGTACATTGATGGCTTTTGAGGTTTCAATACACTCTTTTTTGGACGGTCTTGAGTAATACTTAGTTAAATGCTAGAAAGCGTTAAATTAAGTATTACTAGTAAGTCCAAGAATGACTATCTCAAAGGCAATAAATTCGGATTCAAAAAAGTATTTCTGCATTTCATCGGTCAATTCTTCGTACATTATAAAAAATAAACGAAAACCAAGCGAGCCTACCTACCTTATTGGTCGAATCGACCACGTTTGCGTCTCTTTACATTCACTGCCACAGACTAGTGAAGCAAGACAAAAGATGATACACATATAAAATGAAAGTATGGTACCTGCAGCGCGGCCCGCAGCGCGTACCGGTGTCGGTCGCGCAGCGCCTGCGCCTGCGGGCTGAGCGCCAGGCGCGGCGCGGCGGCGGCGGCGGCGGCGCGCTCGGCGTGCAGGCCGCGCGACAGGCGCCCGCATAGCGCGCGGTACGCGCCCGTCGCCTCCGTCGCCAGCGTCACCGTCGTGTCCTCCTCCTCGGAGCTCAGCTCCGTGTCGTCCTCGGAACCCATGCGGTCTGCTAATCTGTTTTAGGTACAGTATGTATCGACTATTTATGTTTCAAATAAAGTACTCTGTGCGTACATAATATGCATAAGCCGGCTTCTTTAGCTTTTTGTTCGGTTTATTTATTTTTATTTATTTAACATTTTACATAGTCATTTACAAGTATTGATTTTAGAGCATTTGAAAACCACTGAGGTTTGTAAAAATGAAACAGATGCTACATCGAGCGAAGCTGATAAAAACTAACACTATACAGTAAACATGTGTCATTATGTAGGTACTTTTAAAATATTTATCTAAGCGTATGGGCACAGAACGGTGAAGTGAACTCCGAGTCAAGCAAGGAGAGGAGGAGGGATAACTTACAAAACTGGCTGACTGACCGACCTTGCAAAAGAATTCCTTCAAATTAACACACAAACACACATCTTTTCAGTTTAACAATTAAATAAAGAGATATTTAACTATCTCTAATAGTACATAGGTCAATATTCTAGATTACATTATTTCCTATTTGACATTAAAACAACTTTAAGAGTCTTTAAAGGGCTTGCCAAATGCCACTCGTTGACGAACGACCCCAAAATCTCGTATATTCTTACGTATTACTCGGAAGTATTTAAAAATTCAAAACACATTAGAAAATAAAAAATATAATGTAATCACTTTTTAATATACTACTGCGACAAATTTCACAAAACAGTTTTCCATACTCTTGGACTTTTATGTTAAACCCCTTGCAATGCCTGAAAGTACCCTTAAGATTACAATTCGTTTAAATAATTGAACGACTAAATAAGTACTAACTCAGCAGCGTGAGTCAGCGCTCGTTTAACAGTGCTCCACCGCGGTGTGTCTATAGCGGCGGGAGCTCCCAGCGCGCTGAGCCCAGCGCCCAGCTCACGAAGGTCTAACCGTTCAGCATCGCAACGACCCTCGACTGCACAAATACGAAGCATTACTCATTTTACATATATTACCTATAAGAGAAGTAGTAGGGTGCATTTAGAAATTCTATCACAAAACAGAAATTAGAAAGCATTGAACTTTGAAACCAGGAGACACAACATCTAGAATGCACATGACAGTGCATTATCAGACAATTCGAAGACGAAAGTGTAAAAGTTAATTTTTAATCTATCTACAAGTAAAGGCATTGGGTAACGCATCATCTGTCATAGGAGTTGACTAGTTGCGTTATAGTTTAACTCCCCAACCTCGTTTGCGTCAAACTTGAGAAATTTTATACACAGTTTATTATTATCACCTTCAGCAGTGAGGCGGTCATAGAGTGATGTTTTTTAGTTATAACTCTTAGATAAAATGCAATAGGTTTAAGTCGACAAACCTTTCTCAATGATCTGCGATAGTCTGTCGAGACCAAGGTGCGCTAACCTAAGTTGCTCTTGCTCACTCACGAAGGCGGCTTGCATTTCTTCAGTTGTCATATCATTCTACAGGGAAAAACTTTAAATTAATACATAGTAGTTACGTCTCCTATATGAAGCCGGACGAACACAAAGGAAATAAAACTGCGGTGTGTAAGTGTGTATGTGTAAGTGTGAGTGAGTGTGTGTGTGACATAAAATCAGTAATTTAATTTGTCAGTGTGTGTTTTATAAGGTAGTAGATAATAAGGGCTATTATCTACTACCTTATTAAACACACACTTTGACTAATAAAGAATACTTACTTACACTTCATAATCCTCTAAGTTAGTAAGCTTGTAAAAGTATTATTTTTCAATTAAGTAATAAGCAAAATGCTATTCAATATGCATTCGTGTTCATACCGGATTTTCTTCCTGGGTACCAGCAAGAACAAACTCGTCATGTTTTGGCTTTTCCAGCCGCACAGTGGTCTCGCAAAGAAAGGTTCTGAGATCGGCGTCATGAGCCAGCACCGGGTGCCTTGCCACTAAGGTCAACCACCTTTGTAGAGCTGCTCGCCTTCGCAACAGGAATCTAGCACTACCTCCACCCACCACCACTCTTTTAGGTGGTAATCGGCATATCGCGCTAAAAATATGATGTATTATTTTAAACTCATATGAAGGCAATCACACTGCTTAAATTAGCTCCACTTAGTTACTTTAATATATGTTTAAATTCTGCATGTAATATTATTTAATCAACTACAAAAAGGGGCTCAGGTTATTGCATATTCAGGGTGCCTTCTCTAAAAAGATTTGATTTGCCTCATATGATACCTAAAAAACTCAAATATACAGAAAGTTTTATTTTTCAAGATTTAATTTTAACCCAGGTTCTTCATCTCATTTCTTGTTAAATTGACAATTTAAAAAAAGTTTTTTTTAAATACAAATTTTGAATTTGTATTCATGCCGGTGCATGTAGGCAGGATGCAGATTTGAATCATATAACTTTACCATCAGATCAACAGCCTTTAATAGTCCACTGCTAGACATAAGCCTCTCCTTAGACAGGAGGTTTTGGCCTACTATACCACGATGGCCAGACAGGTTGGTATAGGGTTTGTGTAAACTTTCCTTCTCTCTTACCATGCAAGTAGACAACTATATATGTATACATACCGGTATGGATATTTGGCATACAAAACATCATAGAGCTGCACAAAATCGTTGTATCTCCTGGTAACGGTAGTGCCATGTCTTCTTGAGCTCACATAGTATTCACAATGCTTCAATATAAGGCCTTTGCGCTCGGGTACTAATTCTACACTTATCACGTCAGTTGCTTCTAAATCTTCAAATGTAACAGTTTCAACACTTGCCATTTTATATTTACTGAAAATTATAAAACAAAAATTAATTTAATCAACAGCGATCAACATTATATTTTATATGGTTATAAATATACAAACACAAGAGACAGGAAATCATGCTCATAGACATCATGATCTCTTGACAATCAATTTATGACAGATAACATATGTAAGTAAACTCAAGATTATAACAAACAAACTCAAGGTGATATATATATATATCAAAAGCGGTAATAATTTCAATGAACTAACTTGAAGCATGTCACACAAGCCCATCTGGTCCTAAAGTAGGCAGTCTTTATTATTGTAAGCACACAGCTAATAAATATACTTGTTTAACATTAAATATATATACTAAATATAGTCCGTGTGGTGACGGATTAAGAATACGGAATGTCAGCAACCCTATTCATCCCGTGGGTGTGTAAGAGCGGACAAGGAGAGCAAACTACGCAGGACAATAGCACTGCAAAGAGAAAGAAAACTATAAACAAACCCTATATCAACCCGTCTGGCAAGCGTGGTATAGTAGGCCAAAACCTCTTTTCTAAAGAGAGGCCTATGTCCAACAGTGGACTCTTATTAGCTGTTATAACTGTTATAGTGGCTGTTGATGAAGACTAAATACATATTTTAGATAAATAATGTAACGGTGCATTTCGCGCCATTACAGTAATTTGAACCTTTGTCTCGTTTTTGTTTTGTTAGATTGAATTTTTTGTCGTTTCTGCGTGTGCCGATGGTCGAGGGACGGACGAGAGTGATATTCGATGTTGTTCGCCCGCGATTGTTTAGTCGATTTAGTTTTTCTTGTACTGGCAACATTTTTGTTTCCCCGCTCTATGAAGCGAGAGGTTATTGCACTGGTATCACTTTTTTTTCACTTTTGGCGTCGGACCGGACGAAGCAGTTTGGATTCTTTTAAAATGTAGACTTTTTGTTGTAATTTATGTCTTACGAGGGCTTATTTCTTACTTTTATTTTTCGGCCAACCTCGTTAAGAATCAAATTATTGATTGAGTTTTTATTTTCGTAAAAAAGGTGAGTTTTGTTCGGCCACGTGCTTCACGCTTGGCTTGGCGGAATTTGTGGTTTTAACTCTTTGTTTAATTGGTTACAGGCAATGCTTATAATGCTTATAATGCCGCTGTTTGATTTGTGAAGCGTTTTGGAACCCTGGTAAGTGAAATATGATTTCTTGTCAGAGTTATGATTCGTACTGTGAGATAGGCTTTTAACCTATAATTTTTCCTTATTTGCAGATGAATCAGGGTTCTTTTTCTTTTTTAGCTTAAATCTAAAGTCTTTACATTACCTAAATTATTTTACTTTCTTATTGGAATGTCCTTGCGTGGCATTCGATTTTTGTCTCTCGCCGGAGTTTGACCCCAAGAAATTAGATTGCTGTGGAGCACCGGATTGGTAGAAAAAGCTGCTTAGCTGCACGCCATTGTCTGGAGCAGGGGAGTGCTAACCCGCCTCTTACACCACGTGGGAACCGGAGTGAGAAGTTTTCGGAGTTGGTTTGATTTCATTTCGTTCGGACTGATCCAAGGTCATCGGTATGTAGTTTTTGTTATATTTTTCTTGGCGACGTGGCATTGAACACTGCAGGTCCCCAAGGGGTGTTATTTTTATTAGAGAGTAGGTCAATGCTATGTCTACCTTTAGAGTTTATTGTTTTGACTATTAAGTTTTTATGCGACTCTTTAAAATTTATTTAACCTTATATTTTTCTTATTGGAAAGGATTGCATTAATGACAGTACTAATTTGTGTATAAGAATTACCTAATGTAATTAGAGACATAAGACACATTGTACTCTGCAGACACTACGGGAAAATAAACTGCCAATAGAACCTAACACCTTGTATTCATTAGCTGTCCTCCCGCTTTGTTTTAAAAAGGTTCAAAGCTGGCTGAGATGTCCGAGGTATTTGTTGTGTTTGTGGTGGGTTCTGTGTTCTTTTAAGGTGGTATCTGGCGCCCGAGACTTTTATTTTGTTATTTTGTTTCTATTTGATGCCACCAATTTTAGTTTTATTTCTTTATAACACACCCCACAACATAATAATTTTTAAATTTTTTTAATTTTTTATTATTACAATTGTCGCCAGCGCTCAGGGACTGAAGTAGTGTCTGTAGGTTAATTAGATAACTGATTAGATACTGTCTTTACTGCATCCTATATTTTTCTTACATACCTTGTGTATTTTATAATTGTATTATCTTTAAGTGAGGTTATTTTTACAATTTTTCAATAATAGTTTACAACATTGTGACTTTCCTTTACAATGTTATTTCTGCTTTAACAAACAACAATAATTTAAGTTATACTGCTGCCTATTGTATTCTCAATTAAGGGTATAGTTACTGAAACATTTTGTGTTACAATTTAATAGCTTTGAATGTTAATTGTAAGTCTGCTCAAGAAACATTTTATAGATACCTCCGCTTTGGAATTATTATAATATAACTTATTGTAAATTAAGATTAACTTAACTTAGCTTAACCTTGCTGTTATTATTTAGTTACTAGAACAATTGTTAGTGGTTACTGCAATCCTTAAATCCTTTTTAATACAGAACTTAGATGTTTAAATTAAAACTTAGCTTTTTTCCACTTCACTTTTAAATCAATTTAGACTTTTCTTTACAATATTCAACTTTTAAATAAATTTGAACCTGGTTGTTCACAACACTTAACTTTTAAATAAATTTAAACTTATCCTTTCACAACATTTAACTTTTAAATAATTTAAACCTAGGTTTTCACAACAGTGACTTTTGAATAAATTTAAACTTAATTAATTTTAAAAAAACTTAACCTTTGAACGGCTGTTTTGGAATTGTGTGGTTAGTGTCGGTTTGTAATATGGACAAGGAGGCTCCACCTTCAACGTCGCCTGCCAATGTGGATGTTGGCACAGCTGCGGATGAGTCAGCGGAGATGAGCGTCCCATTAGACTTGTCATATGTCCGTGATACTCCTGCTCTTGCACCAAGTCTGCCTTCGTTCAACAGCATGAATGAACACGTTAGGAGGAATATACTATACTACAAAGCTGCCTGATTTAATTAGGAGCAAGATAATCTTTGACGGTAAGACCTGTGTTAGAGAATTTATCACTCGTGTTGAGGATTACTTTGTATTCAGGAACTTTCATGAGGCCGTGTTGATTGGTTCGTTTGCTGATCTGCTTGCTGGTACTGCTGCCAAGTGGTTTAGGACTATTTGTATGAAGATCTCTTCGTGGGTTGAGCTTAGGGCTGCCTTGCTTAGACGTTTTGATGGCACGGACTGTGATAGCTGTTAGGAGCATTAGCTGCGCATTCGCAAACAAAAGCCTAGTGAGTCTCTTCTAGATATAAAAATTTCAGGGTTGATGACCACACATTATATAAATTTTGTAAGAATAAATTAAATCTGGATAGTAGATTGAATTGGAAAATTGTTATTTCTAGGAACATATTCTTGATACTATTAAGTCTAACCATGATGATATTGATTCTGGTCATCTTGGGATTCTGAAAACCATTAATAAATTAAAACAACATTATGTTTGGAACGGTATGTTTAATGATGTTCAAAATTACATTAGATCTTGTGACACATGTAAAGCCTATAAAGCACAGCACCTCACATAAATATATTCTTTCAGTTGTAGTTGTTTTCACAAAGTTTTGCTGGGTTTTCCCATTAGTAAAAGCTACCACCGTATCCAATTGTAGAATCCTTGAAAAAGAGATATTTCTTAGATTTGGTTGTCCTAAATTAATAGTTTGCGATATTGGTACTCAATTCATTTCCAAACATTTTGTAGATTTCATGAGAGGTTACAACATTACTAAATTTTTTATAACACATTGTACACACCTCAGAGTAACCCTGTGGAGAGGTACAGTAGGACGGTAGGGACTTGTATTTCACGTTTTGTTAAAGATTGGATTTTGTTAGTTTATTCTTGCTTTAAATTTTAACCTCACATTTAGTTGGCTTTTATTGGAAGTGTAAATTTGGTTATTGGTTTTACACTTGATTTTTCTTATGTTTGGTTGAGAGTTAGTTTGTTGATGCTTCTCTGCACCGTTTTGGTAATTTTTTTTGTTAGTTTAGACCAACTTGAGTTTGTTACAGGGATTTTTGTGCCCTTTCTTTTGGATCACTTAGTGATATTTTTTGTTAGAGTTGAGTCACATTTGTTATAAGCGCATTGCTTTATATTAAATTATTTATATTATTTGTTGCTATTATATATTAAAATTATTAATATTATTTGTTACTATTTCTTTTGATGTTGGTGATATTGTTTGGAGAAGAAGTTTTATTCAGTTTTAGCGCTCCAGCATATTTCGGCGAGCTTGCACCTAAGTTTGTTAAATGTAAAATTATAGAGAAAATTTCAGACAACGTTTACCTTTTGCAGGACCTTTCAAAGAACATCTCTGGTCGCTGTCATATTAAAGACATTATTAAATATTAAAATTTCACTATTCGGTCATTAACTTTAGATCTTAATTTGATATATTTGTTGGATTCTACATTTGTGTGAGGAAGTATGTAGTTTGTTGTATGCTAGGTTATTGTAGTTTGTATGTTGATGTAGTGTAAGGTATTCTTACCGATATATTAAATTTAGGGTTTAAAAGTTCAAAAGTTTACTTAGGTCATTTTGGTTTATTAATTTCAGGAACTTCATTCATAATAGAGACCACATCAAAAGAATATTTTGTTTGTATTTTGTTTGCACTTCTACCTAGTGTAGAGTGTTTTGTTGGAGTAAGGTTCACCCTCTTTTCAAGGGTTGAACGGGTTGTTTGTTGGATTCACACTTTTTTTCAGGTGTTGAATGATTTGTTTTTTTGTCGGTTTCACACTTTTTTCAGGTGATGATTGGTTTGTTGGTGGGATTCACGTTTTTTTAAGCGTTGAATATTTTTGTTTGCTTTCTGTTGTATTGTGCCCGGTAGTTCGGTGGTGTTGTGCCGATCACAATACACAGGTTTTTTTTA